GTCATGAAATAGTTTAATTTTAATAGCTTGGGACTAGATTTGTAACCAAATTCTTGTTAAATATCTGGTAACAATTCTGTCCTCCTGTTTAAATGTTGATATTCATTTATCTGCTCTATTGGCTAGGTTAGCATTCAAAGCCCGAGTTTGAGGCTCAAATGCTTTCCCCAACTGGGCTTCCATTACGCATGACTGAACTCTTTGAGCACATCTAGCATGCTAAATACAGGAGCCTCACAGTGTGAAAATAAGACCTGATTAAAAACACATCTATTTGAATTCCCCCTTGCGAATGGCTCTGCTTTTACTGTTACCTTTCTGAATTATCATTAATACTCAAATGAGGAAATTCACTTCACCATCCATTTATTATAGAAGAAAGGAGAGATCGCACCCTACTTTTGATCTTTTTCAATGAGCATCAATTATTAATTGTTAAAATAAATTTAAAAATCAGAATAACAGTGTGGGTTGCCTTGCTATTGAAAACATACAAAGACAAATGCTGATGAAGAAATTCTGCCTTCGTAAATATTTGTACCAAAGACAGAAATAGGGAAAAGCTTTCCCAGTGTTTTCTGATACATTGCCAATAAAAATGAAAGGCATTGAAAAAAATCACTTGATTTGGGGCTGTGCAAAGGGCATGTACTTATCAGTTTTGCTGTTATTAAGAGCTTTGCAATAGAAAAAGCAAAAACCGACAAGGAACTGCATACTTAATATGCAATCACTGCATTTTGATTTGGCTATAGGACCTATGTAGGCTGTATAACCCTGAAAATTGGTAATGATATGTTCTAAATTTCAGCTGATGCTTTTGATATTAATATGAAATTAGTGGTCAACTTAATAGTATTCGTGATATTTTTACGGTGTGTTACTTCCAAATTCTTTTACATATATTATCTTCTTTGATACTTCTGGAAACCTTTTTTGGTAGAGAAAACAGATATTTCGTTTTGTAGATAAGGATATTGAGACTTTGAGGATTTAATTGATTTGCTAAGTCATATAGCCAGTGACAAAATTGGAACTGGAATTTTAAACTCTAAACCCAGTAACCCAGGCATACTTCCATTATATATAATGTCTGTCGTTCATATCATCAGTTTGTTTTTGTTTTTGTTTTAGTATGACACAAAAGTTCATGCCAAGTAGTGTTTTTTTATTGCTGAAAGAATCAGTAAGGAACATGGACAGTACTTTTAACCTGCAACTATTAAGTTTAATAAAGATGGATAGGATTCCTACCTGAATTGCTCATTTGAGCCCAGCATCTATATGTGAGCTATTTTTCCTTTAAACCAATCTGTTCGATTGAAGTTAGTGTCATATTTTTTTCTTTTGGTATCATAGGAATACATTAAGAATTTAAACAGATAATTGAATTTTGTTTTACTCATTATATCTATTTAGGCTGATGTCTGTTGACATTTTATAAACTGAGAATTCTCTTGAGAAATATATATCAGATTTTTAAAAACCTAAGAAACTAAAATAAACACTTTGGTTGCTATTTTTGGTGTCAAACAAGTAGTTTGACAACACTTGAAGAGAATCTGAGTATAAGGTGCTATCAAATGATGTTTGATGGGATTTTGCTAGCCTTTATATTGTGAGACTGTTTCTCACTTGTTTGGTAAATCTCTGGCAAGATGAGAAATGATATTCTTAATTTGACATTTGCTCCTAATCTTTTTGACATTGTGATCTCTTTGGTCTCTGGGAGAACTTTAACTCAACTTTGCTTAATAATTTTGTGTGTTGGTAATCTTCCACCAGTTTTCTCCCCCACTATTTCCCAAAGGTGGGGGACTTGAAGGCATTTGTAAAGTATTTGTAAATAACTTTGCCCGTTTCAAATTAATTTCCAAAAATTAAGTATCTATTCTGCTTTTTGCATGGAAAAACAGCACTGATATAACAAGACCTTTAGGCTAACCTAAGAAAACTAGTTCAAAAAAATTTTAGTTGGTAAGCATGTTGCTTTAACTTTTACTTAATGTCCCCTCATTCTTGTGCCATGGAGAAAGTATTAGAAAAAAATACCTTAATTGCTTCTTATTTTGTTCTGGTTTATCCTTTTATTGTTCTGTGGGAGTCCTAGATGGATACAAAATACCATATTCAATAATTACTCTAGTCTTTCTTCTAATGATTTTGCTTCTAAAAGGTCCCCCCTCCTTTTTTTTTTTTTTTTCAGCCCTTGAATTTTTCCTCAGCATGATTTTAACTGAAGTCTGCATGCAAGGTGAGATATGCCCTTTACTTCTATAATTGCAAGACGCTATTTTGTGAATCGTCTTGTCAGTTGCCCCTCTTAATAATGCAATTGAACTGAATCTCTTCTGTTCTTCATGGTGACACTTTGGTCTTTCCCAAGAAGTTTCCGCTAATTCAGAGCCTATCAAGTTTTAAATGGGTAATTTACATCCTATTTTAAAATGTGTTTCAAATTGTGGTTGCTTGTATTGAAATTCATGCTTCATGGAAAAATGCATGTCAGTTCAACGTTAACCGCAGCTGTATATGCAGAACTATATAGTTCATGAGTTTAGGTTAATAGTGTGCTGGCTTGACACTCCTTAAGTGATAGTTGTGACAAAGAAATGGCCAAACGTAAATGGCTAATCCTACATCTGAATGTGGTTTGATTTGCTTTTACTGAGGAATCCATTCCATAATATTTTCAAGAACACAGATTTCCATTTCATTTAATGACTGACTTGCATGAAGACAAGGTCAGCCTCTGGGGGTGGGGCACTAAATACCTTACCTAAATTATCAATGAGTGCCACTATTGTAGTGGGGCTTTTCTGTTTCTAGCTTTTCTCTACCTCCTCTTTCTGTTTCTGACTCTTACTGAAGTTAAACAAATCAGTTAAATCACCTGGCTCAGAATCTAGAAGTTTTAGAAATAATTTGTCAAAATTCCAAAAATCATTTCAAAGGGAGGGTGAGGTTAGCCCCTCAGCAAGCGCATCTTCTACTGTAATTGTTGCAACTGTGTAAGGCTGGGGCTTGCTTAGCCTCCTCAATGTCCTGAGGAGGGAAGTCAGATTATCTCAACTGATCAAATTTGTTAAGTATAGTATGGACTATTTTTCTTTTTTTTTTTAAAGATTTTATTTATTTATTTGACATAGCGAGAGAGAGCACAAGCAGGAGGAGCAGCAGAGGGAGAAGCAGGCTCCCTGCTGAGCAAGGAGCTGGATGCGGGACTCCATCCCAGGACCCTGGGATCATGACCTCAGCCAAAGGCAAATGCTTAACTGACAGCTACCCAGGCATCCCTGGACTATTTTTCTTTCTTTTTTTTTTTTTAAAGATTTTATTTATTTATTTGAGACAGAGAGAATGAGAGACAGAGAGCATGAGAGGGAAGAGGGTC